TGCGTGCTGCAGGACGGCGAGGTCTTCGAGAAGGCGGGTGTGAACGTGTCCGTGGTGTTCGGGCTCCTGTCGGAGGAGGCAGCGCGGCAGATGCGAAGCAGAGGGAAGTCTCTGAAGGCCAAAGACGGTAAGGTGTCCGGCGGGGAGGTGGGGTCGGGGACCGCGACGCGTTCGACCAGGTGTTCGCTTGCCGCTACTCTGAAAGCAGTCTAGCCTTTGAGCTGAACGCGAGGAAGGCAGGACTAACCAATGCTCAAGGGTTTCGTTTGTGTCGTGGTGTTTCTGACGGGTAAGCCTGGCAGGTGGACTTCCATCTTCCTGAAAGCTTGGTATTGGAGTGCTCCTTCCTCTGTCATGCTGCTTTAAGCAATGTACTGTGGGTGCAGGTTCTTTCCCGGTAACGATGCTGTAGCTCAACAGTGAAACAGCGCATGAGTTACGTACCAAAGAGGCTGAAGGAGAGAACCAAAAAGACCTGAAGGCTGAAGAGGATTCAATGCACGTTTGTGTAGCAGAGGGTAATTGTGAGGGCTGGGGGTGGTGGAAAGCCTTAGCAGTGCCTTACGTTTTAAGTAGTCTTCATCTAATCGGTGCTCTAACATATCATTGCATTTTAAGACAAATACAAAAAAAAAGCATTTAGTTAGGTGCACAGAAGTCTGTGGATGAGAAGTAAATTGCACATTGATTAATAATTACGGTGACCCAACATGAGAAATTTTCTTGTAGTGGAACATTAGCTTGGAACCTAAGAAAAAACAGTGATGTTCCTTAAATGATAATAAATGAAGTTATTTGAAAAACTGAAGGTTTATTTCTGTGCATCTTTTTATCTAGGGAAGCTGCCTTTTTGCGCCATGGGTGTGAGCTCTGTTATCCATCCAAAGAACCCTCATGTTCCAACCATGCACTTCAACTACAGATACTTTGAAATTGAAGAAGCAGACGGTAAGCATTTTAATCCAATGAAGTATGTATGAAAAGTATGACTCCACATGAAGGAAACATGAACACATGGCTAGGGTGAGAGGTTAAGAACTGGTCCCGGTTTGTTCCCAGCTGTGCCAAGGATCTGTTGTGCCAGACCTTTAATCTCTGGGCCTTTGTCCATTTGTAGAATCAGTGAGGTGTGGGCATCTGGTAAAGCGGTTTGCAGTTTAATTTTTGCAGAGTGCACCAGGGGTTTCAGATTTAAATTAAAATACAGGAGGTTATAAATATATGTAAAGCATATTCAAAGAAGCAATTCTAGAATTTAGTAAAAGAAGAGTCTGTGAAGGACAGATGAGCATTCTGGGCAGGATGTACCTTTGTCTCAGAAGCTGGGGGAGACAGACTGTCAGAAACGTAGCTCTTTAACTGCATTGCGCCTTTTTTTCCCTGAGTTTCTGCAACTTGCCGCTGTCTGAAGTGGGACTGCAGGCTAGGTGGTCAAATGCTGAGAGGCCATCGATACCTTGTGACAGCTTATGTACTGTCAGAAGCTCAAAGAGAGTTTTCTTTCAGTTATTTTGCCAGAGCAGTATGGATCATTTCTAGTCAATTACTTCCCTGGGCTTAATAATGATGTTCTCTTTCTTTGGCATGTAATAAAATGTGTCTGGATTCTTGATTAGGAGTTGCCAGCCCATTTTGTGAAATTGATATCCTGTAGTCAGGGTCAGCGGTCCAAAATACTGAACAAATGGTTTTCACTGCTTTGAAATTTGTTTCGTGTTTTGCTGAAGTCACCGCTCATCGCACTACCTTGAACTCAAATTTTTCATGATTGAGGTTTAGGGACACCACTGAATAATGATTTTGGTTTGTATTGTAAAGGTAGTTGTTAGTTCTTGGTGAACCACTAGTAACATACTGCTCTTTGGAAGTTTAAAAGCAAAATGTTGCTGCTTGCCTCTCTCCTGTAGGAACTAAACAGTGGTGGTTTGGTGGTGGGACTGACCTCACTCCAACTTACTTGAATGAAGAGGATGCCGTTCATTTTCACAAGACTCTGAAAGAAGCCTGTGACAAGCATGATCTGAAGCTGTATCCCAAGTACAAGAAATGGTATGTGGGGAGAGATGCACTTGGGTTACTTTTGTGGGAGCAGAAGGCTGCACTGCATATTGCCAGTTCAGTGTACTCTAGGAACAGTAGGTTCTGCTGCCTTTTGAAAAGTATCAGCAAACCCTAAGGAAAAGCAGCAGATGTATACCAGGACAAAATGTAGTCTAAAACAATCTCTTATTTACAGAGGTCTCAGTTTTTCAAATCAGAGGGCTGACAACTAGGATCCTAAGTCTATAGCCCAAATTAAAACCAAGCTGACTCTCCAGGACCTTGTAAGCCACAGACTTCACTAGGCAATTTAAAAATTCCTTTTAGCCTCTGGTGTTAAACTAGGACAAGACTTTTGCCCCATGGACTTGCACAAATTTGCTTACAGTGAATTCATGGTAAATGTGTGTGACAGCGCTGCAGTTCCGAAAATCTCACTCCAGTTTTTCTGCCTTCAGTCTGACCTTTGTGACCTTTTTTTTTTCTTTTTCTTTTTTTTGCCAGGTAGGTAGAGGAGTTTGTCCTTAATGTAGAAGCTTCATAATTTTGATGGAGCTGTACTTTTTTTCCAGTGACACGTTCACTGAGAGTTCAACAGCATATTCTCTAAAGATGCAAATTTGGAATGTTCTTCTTGAGTGAGATACAAGTGATGGGATCCTTCACTGTTCAGTGGGGGCTTGCTGCTCTATGTCTGATAATCCTATCTGCTACAGGCTGTAGTATCCAGGAAGGAGGGGTTACCCTTTTGTAAGCTACCAGGTCTTGTCTGAAGACAGGAGATAAAGTGGGTGTGGTAGCTCCGGTGGCTTAGTAGAGCCTTAAGTATAACCTTAGTATAACCTTAAGACTACAGTCTTGTTCTCTGAGGAAATTTTGCAAGGTGTCTGCCTTAATAGTCAAGTCATTTGCAGCATAGGCTAGCAATGCCAGCTGCAGGTGGTTGCAGAGAAGGATGCCTGTTCTTAGTCCAAGGGCAGCTCAGGGGAGGACTAATTGTTTCCCATGGACAAAGGCAGTTTTCTCAATCCCAGCATGAGTATTTCCTGTAAGCAGCAGCTGTGTAGGGGCACGCGGTTCTCACTGCCAGAGCAGCGCGAGTCTCCTCTGAGCTTCTACTAATTAGCATTGCCCCTTTTCCCACCTTTCTCAAACATAAAAGCTCTTGTATATTTACCATGCTGTCTTCCTGATCTAGCTTTAAGACTTTTGTCAGGCTTGTTCTCTTTTGCGTTTCTGAGAGCCTTTTTTCCTAACGCTTCCTGCTGCCATAAAATAAAAAAGTTGATCATCCCAGTGAATTAAAAAAAAAAGCTTAGGTTATCTGTTACATCTCCATGTCTCTCCTGCTATGGTCATGCCATTTATATTGCTTGAGAACAGCGACTGTGGATGGATACACGTATGGAAAACTAGTCCTAAAAGAAGGCAAGGTTTCCTTGCTGTTGATGGTTTCTACTTCCTAGTTCACTTCCATTTCTCCCCCACGTGAAGACTTTCAGGGCATCACTGCCCAAGCAAGCAACTATAAGCAAGATGGGGTGTGGATACAAGGAATCAGCTAATTTATAGCAATTGCACCCCTACATACTCTGAGTACGTACAAGAGAGATGAACTGCCTCCCTATTGTAGGATAAGCTGCACTTACTCCTTCATAAACTTGAACATTAGCCATGAAAAGCCACTGCTAGAATGACTCCATCTTCCAAGTTTAACTATTAAAAAGCCTTTTTCCAAGGAAGGCTGCTCCACTTTTGATTTTTCCTTAAGTGACAGTGCCTTTCTTATCTGATCTTGGGTTTTTAGATTATTTTAGTTTTGATGCAGAAAACCCATTCTTTCAATAGAATGGCAAAAAGAATAAAGAGAGTCTCTTCCAAGTTTATTTGAGTTCATCTAAAAGCTGTACAAATAATTTGGGATCTCCAAATAATTCTGGGAATGAAATCTAGAGAGAGCTCTTAGGGTGAAGTTTTGAAATCAGGTGTCCCTCCTCCATGTAGGTAGAGGATATGGACTGGATCACTCCACATGGAAGCATCTGCTGTGGTGGTTGAGTGTTACGTATTCAGTGACTGTGTAGTGATACGGAGCTGTGCAGAGGCCATTTAATCAGAGCTTTTGCTGTAAGTGAACACAGGAGTGCTTCCCAGATGGTGCTGTACTATCCTGGCTCTCAGCGGTCAGTGAAACAGTGGGGCACCTGGCACTGTAGGAACTGAATTCTTGTCAATATTTCACTTGTGTCGTCCTGTGCTACATAGCTGTTTGGAGTTCTGTTTGTTTCTTTGAATGATGTGAACCATATTAATAATCATCTGCTGCCGCTTCTAGGTGTGATGACTACTTCTATATCAAGCACCGTGGTGAGCGAAGAGGCATTGGAGGTATATTCTTTGATGACGTGGACTCTCCCTCCAAGGAGGAAGTATTCCAGTTTGTGAAGAGCTGTGCTAAAGCTGTTGTGCCTTGTTACATTCCCATTGTGAAAAGGCACTGCCATGATGCCTTCACACCAGAGGAAAAGCTATGGCAGCAGCTTCGGAGAGGACGGTGGGTACTGAAGGAGCAAAAGAATACACAGGAGCTGGATTATGCTGGCGAGAAAAAAATGAGCTGGTTCTTCATGGTCGTAGGTTTATGTCCTGTTGTGGTGTGGGCTGAGTTTGCATAAGTGCTTTAAAGCTTGCCAGAGAATTTCAGCATTTTTGTGCACAGAACTAATTTTGAAATTCAAGGCTAGATTGCCGAGGAGGTTGCAAAGAAGGTACTAGCACACTCCTACCTGTATCTCCCACTCTCCCATGTTGCAGCACAAGCAACCCATGCAAAATGCCACAGTTTCTCCCCAACTCTTCAAAAACCAAGAGAAGCTGCTGCTTTGTAACAGACAAAGGGCTGCATGTGTGCTTGGTGTCCTGAGTCCTGCCCTCTCCTGCAGCCCAATGATACGGGGTATAGGACTGCCCTGTGACATCAGGAGCATAAGAGTGGGGGAGTCACGCTTCCTATTCAGTAATGAAGCTAAACCCCAGAAAATCATGAAATAACTGTACCCAAGAGTACTTTCAGCTTCTTACATTCATATTTATTCCATCTGATCTTCGTATTGAAATGAGGATGCAGTGAACTCTTTGTAAAGGAATGAAGATAGAGGGGTTTTGTTTTTCTGGCACGGTCCAAACCACTGTAACTTAAAAGGCTTTGGAGGATACTTATTAACATGAACTGTTAATGCTGCAAAAGGTTAAGTACATTGGTAGATACAGTTGTACTCTTTTCTCTCTGTCCTGTGATTGTGTAAGCATATGGAGAAATGAGAATACATGCGCTTTGTGCAGAACTAGGGAGTCTTTAGTTTCTGCCTCTTCCGCAGAGAAGTCTCCGAGAGTGGCATAGAGAAGACGTAAGCATTCAAGTTTAGATCACTGGCCTGCAGCAGTTACTCAAGTAAGCATACGTGCTTAATTTGGTGTGACTGTTCCTGGAAGCATTGGGCTTTCAGGATCCAGTCTGTGGATGGGATTTAGCAAACCTGCTAAGGTTATAAGGGGGAACAGCTTCTTTAAGCTGCAGCCAGGACCAACTCATGAGGCGTGCTTATTTCCCTGGATCTGTTTGCAGGTTATTGGGCTAGTTAAAGCTCTCCATTTCTGCAAATAGATAAGAGCTCCTCCCTTCCCGTACCTCTGTTTAGTACTAATACCACAGTACTGGTTATTAAGATAACCCCTGCTGAATTTTCTCTGCTCTGTTTCTGTGCTGGGGGCAGAAAAATATCTATTCTGGCACTTAAAAGTCCCAGCCAGCACTCTGAAGCTGTCTGACTTCTGCTGCTTTCCACATCTCCCCAAGAAACAGAAAATCTTGTTCTGACCTTGCTGCTGATGTGTCCTTCAGCATGGAGGACTGCACAGTGGAGCTTTTCCTGTGGTCATTTCCAGTTCCTTTAAGGCTCCATTTAATGTCTGACAGCACTGCACAAAAGAGTACTAGCATAACCAAGCTAAACTTGGTGTCAAGCTTGCCAGCAGGGTTGAAGCCTGTGAGAAATAAGCTAGTATAGCACCATGCAGAATGCTGTCCTTTAAACAGTTTGTCTGCTCTAGTCTGTTGGCTAAGGTCATTACTTCCTATGCTTTGTGGAGTGGCAAGGTCACACCTGCATTCCTATGGAGAGGATGCTGGAGAGCAGCTGGCCCTGAAACAAGGTTCATTCTGACACCCAACACAGCAGAAAGACAGGCTGGTTCTGTTTGACGCCTGCTAGTTGAAGAAGGCACAACCAACTTCTGATAATAAACTTGTTTTTCTGTTGCATCACTTCACTCCCCATAGGTATGTGGAGTTCAACTTGGTTTACGACAGAGGTACAAAGTTTGGCCTCCTGACACCAGGATCAAGAATTGAAAGCATTCTTATGTCTCTGCCACTGACTGCAAGGTAAGGGCATAGTTATGTGGAATCGTAGGTAGGCACTGTTCTTATTAAAATACTTTATAAGATTAAATCAAACATCTGTCCTGGTGTCTGGTGTTTTAACAGTGGTTAGTTCATGCCTGATACAACAACTAGCCAAATACATGGAGATGCTTCTCTGGTCTGCTACACTCGCCCAGTTGTCAGTGATGTGTGGCCTAGATATTTTCTGACAAAAAAAAGTGCTATTTTTTGTGCTTAGTACCTCTTGATAGATTTCCCCTCCTTGCTCCATGGGCTTTTGTTTAGTAGCTCTTTGAAACTGTGTGAATTTCTGGCAGTCCTGACAAGCTTGTGGCACAGAGTTACACAGTTTTACTGTGTGTTGTATGAAAAAGTGCCTCTCTGTTTTCTGCTTGCACCCGATGACTTCATTCGACTTTTCAGTGAGTAAACAGATTTTCTTTCTGTTCATTTTCTCCGTAACAGTTCTTATTTACAGGCTTCTGTTTTTTTCATTGTCTGTTTTCCAGGCTGACAAGTCCTGCTTTTTTTAGTCTTTGTACAGTAGCTATTCCATACCTTTGATCACATTTGCCACTTTCTCCAGGCTTAAGTTTCTATGCCTTTTCTGAACTGGGGGTAAGGAGCAGACAACATAAGCTACGTATGTGTATCCAAGATGCAGGTGCGCTGCTGACTTATACAGTGGCATAATGATGTTTTAGTTCATTCTTCCTTTCATAATCCTAACATGCTATTTGCTGGTTTTGACTGCTGCTAAGCGTTGACCTGGCTTTTTCATAGAACTGTTCTGATGCCAAGATCTTTTCTGGGCAATAAAAGTTAACTCAGTCTCTCAGTTTGTATGTAACTTTTTCCTATGTGCATCACTTCAGATCAATCAACAGTGAATTTCACTTACCACTTTATTGCTCAGTTGCTTGGCTCGATATTAACACTCTTCAACTGCCTTTTTAGGTTTTAACCTATCTTGCTTAATCTTGCAATATCAGCAAACTCTGTCATTTACTGTTTACTCACATTTTTTAGGTTGCTTTTAGATATGCTGAGTAGCACAGGCCCTGTCATGAATTTCATAAACCTCATTAGTGACCTCCCTTCAGCCTTTGCCTTCTACCCCTTAACTGTGAAGGCAGTCCTGTTCTCACCATATAGCTTCATCCTGCTGCCAACACTAGATGCGTCCCTGACCTGCTGGTGTAGCACAGTCCTATCTTTTTTTCATGGCTGGGATGATCTGGTTTTGCTTGTTTTCGTCAATGTAAATAGCTCGCTTCACAGCATGAATGGGTCCTTCCTGGGGAAAAAAATGGACAAAGGTTGTACCCATCCCTTTGTGACTGCTGACACTTTTCTTCCTCTGTCATGTCTCTCTTAATTGCCTTTTCAATCAAAAGTGGTGTCTCATCACCTTTGTTTTTAAAAACAAGATTCAACAAGGACTCGTAGGGCTTCCAGTCCAGCTTCTGGAAAAACTAGGTCTTGTGTACTCACTGTCAAAACTGAGGATCTTTTTGCTCATCTTCCTTGTGATACTAGTGTGTCACAAGGGACTGCTAAAAGATCTTTGCAAATAAACCTGCATGCGTTGTGGGGTAGGGGGCATTGCTCTTTCCTTTTTCTTTATTCTTCCAGCCTTTCCAGAAGTTTGCGGAAAGATCGAGCTAACATTTCTCCTGTCTATGCTGGTGTTGTTATTTGTTTTTACTAAACTTTGTAGCCATACCTGTCGCCCAATCCAACCGTATCAATTATGTAAGTAGCTCTGCATCCTCCTATGCTGGTGTTGTTATTTGTTTTTACTAAACTTTGTAGCCATACCTGTCGCCCAATCCAACCGTATAATTATGTATGTAGCTTTGCATCCTCAGAAAAGGCAACTCAAGTCCAAACAGAGCCTGGTGCGGGAGAGGTGGCAGCCAGCTGGGCAGTCTGAGTGAGTTTTCCCTCTCTCTGCAGGTGGGAGTACATGCACACCCCTCCAGAGAGCTCAAAAGAAGCAGAAATCCTGGAGGTTCTGCGCAATCCCAAAGACTGGGTGCACTGACACGGATCGTGAACAAGATGGATTGCTTACACTGAGCCATTATGTATGAAAGAACAGGAACGCCTGCAAACCAGCTCATTCAAGCTGCTGTTGCATGGCAGTTTAGTATAGCTATTCATACTCTTACCTGGTGCCTTAATAATGCTGTAGACTTGTTATAACTTGCAAATATGTGAAATCATTCTTTAAGATTGATCAGCTGATGTTATCACTCTCTGTCGATGTTGCCTGGTGAAGGACTGGTGATACCCTCACAGGACTACTGTGCATGCTTAAGAACTTCCTCAACTGATTTGTTTGACTGCAAAACGGCAAACTGCTGTGAAGTGTTCTCCCAGTGGAATGAAAGCATTATCTGTGCCTAAATAGCACTGCTTACTCTTAGAAAATGTTGGGATGTTTTAGAAATATTTTTTTAAAGAATAAAGGGAATATTTGGTATGATTTTAAACTTTAAAGTCTGCTTTCAGGAAATTGTGAAAAAGGTGCTACTTAATCACATGTATTTTGATGCTATCCACATTGACTTAAAACACTTCCCCCCCCTTAAGATGTGCTGCAGTAGAATGACTTGACTTGACAGTAACTGAGAGATTCTAGGTTGGGGTCCCAGTCTCACCTGATGAGAGCAGAAGGTTGGCTCTCCATTTTGAGGAGAAAGTCTTACAGCACTGTTCATCTCAGCTGTGCTCGTGAAAGGATAGCAACCTGCATCAGATCAGCTCCTTTGCCAGGGAGGTTGGGGACAGATCAGGAAGTCGTTGGGTGTTGCCCAGAAGTCATCGAAGTAGCACTTGATGCTGTTTCCAGCCCCGGGCCAATTGTTTTTTCTTCCTGCGGCACGAACCTCATCGAGGACTCCGTGGGCAAAAGGAAGGGGGGGTTCCTGTTCCTGCCTGCTTGAGGAAAAGGAAGTACCATCTCCCCGTCGGGGAATCGAACCCCGGTCTCCCGCGTGACAGGCGGGGATACTCACAGAAACTGGATAGGGGCAGTTTGCGTTCCTTCCGTGACGTAGAACAACGTCATTTTCTGGCGGCTGCCCTGGCATCTGTGCAGGGTACAGAGAGGGATCCCGCCAGGCCGGCTCGCACTCACTGTCCTCTGATCGCCAAACTCAAGCTTTGCCTTGGAGGCTACCGCGTTAATTTCCGTGTTACACTTCCTCCTCTAAAATAATAATAACAATAGCAAAAATAATAACAAAAGGAACGTTCAGTATAAGTCAGCGATTTCCTCACCGCCAAGAGTAAAAGACCAGCTGGCCCGTACGGGGATCGAACCCGCGAC